CACTATCCTTACAAGGCCTACTCTTTGGGGAGTGGCTGTGAGGCACCAGTCCATTAATTTACTCATGCGCTCTGACTCACATTAGTGTATCAGGCTTCGTCTCTTGATGTATATCCTGCCACGGAATCTCTTGGTCAATAAATTCCGTCTAGAACTTTGTCAGTATTCTAGCCGGCCACCTTTGAGTAAACAAGAGACTGCACTAAAATACAGGGAGCACCATAGTTCGCCTGAAGTCTTTCACAGAATTTTGTGATTCTTTTGTCAGCTGTAATGAGATCTTCAGTTTCTTTGGCCTAATCCTAATTCACCGCTGTATTTTGCCTGCCACTGAGGAGCCAGTCACTAAGATCCTTTTCTCTCGTCCCCCAACCTGGATAGTTATTAACACTATTAAACCGTTTCTTTATGTGCTTACCTCAAGTTCAACATTTCCATAAACATTCACTAATCTTCTTGGAAGGTTTGTAGAACTTTCTTCTTCGAAAAATCGAAAATAGATTATTTGCTTCCAACCTGTGACCAAAGAAACAGCTGCTTTGAAAGGGAATTAAAAGCAGAAAATTATAGTTCAAAATTAAAATAGATGACTTTTCGACTATCACCGGTATTTATATGAGTCAGGTTTTCATTCCACTACAGGACCGATGACTTCCCGATGTCAGACCTTGTTGGCAGGATAGTTAACCTTTTCATTGTCTGGTAGCCTTCCTTGTAGTGCAATCAACTTTTCTATTTAATATCTAGTGGGGTAGTATGAAATTAATCATTACCTTTTCTAAGGGATTTTACATGAAGTAGACTTTTTTAAACTGCAGATAGATAGATAGATAGATAGATAGTGTTATGGGAACTTACCCATAATAATAATGGACTATTCCTGACATTATAAATACTGCGCCCCCCAAGAGGTATGGGCATATATATGGGCACCTCGGCGTGGTGTAATGGTTAGCAAGCTCGCTAGAGCAGTTACAATTGAAAAAGTTAGTTCGATCCTCACTAGATTCCCCATACTTTTGGCCTTGTGCCACATCTAAGATACGCTTATAAAATAACTATATATGGTAAAACGAGGAGAGATAATTGAGAGCATATTGTAAGGACATTGGAATAGTGATACTTGTCGAGACAACATAGTTCACTCTAACCAAATCTGATAGTCATTACTAATACTTCTACTTGTTTGTATTATATTTCTGTTGTAATATATCTTTGTATTTCATACTTGTGTTTGTGTTATTCTTTCATTGGTTCTAACCTTGGACCATCACCATGGTACAATGAACTTGGACCATAACAGATACATAGGTACCATTGTAGTCATGTGGTACGATTCCTCATAATATCTATATCATAGATAGATAGATAGATAGATAGATAGATAGAAAAAACTGACAGAGTGACCTAGAAGTCTATCTAGCTATATAGACAGTTATTTATGAACAGATTAAGAGAGACAGATATGAAAAAAGACTAAGATAGATAGATAGATAGATAGATAGATAGATAGATAGATACTATTGTAGTAATGTGGCACGGTCCCTCATAATATCCATATCATAGATAGATAGATAAGATTCATAGCAATCACTATGTAGCAAATATTTCTTATATATTCTCGAAGCTGACTCCATTTCTTACAATATTCCAGAACCTTACTCGAATGGATTGCAAGATAACAAAGCATTTTTAAAATTAGGCATGGGCATAAGTTTTCAGGTGAACGAATCCTTTCTAGTCTTCAAAAGAGAAAAGTACTGTTGAGTTTTGCACATAGCTTTCCTCGGTGCTGACAGTGTAACGGATATCGGCGAGCGGGTCGGCGCAGGGGCACATTCAAATTCCGATCTAGTTTGTTGCAGCCACATTGGCACTAATGCCCTTGGGGAAAACATGAACACGCCTCTTCCCCACTCCTATCTACGGCTTGATTAGACTAGGTTCTATAACGACAATTCTGAATTGAAAACCAGCTGGAAGAGGAATGGGTTTCGGCTGGCTATCGTGGCCTATACACACCCACTGTAGCCACGTCTGTACTAGTTATGGTGAACAGACGCCCCTTTGTGATCATGAACGACTATTTGGTTATTTTAGCCTCTATTTTGTCTCAAGGTCAAAGGATAACCTTATCTTGTTAACAGCTTTTACGAGAAAAATGAAAGATTAACGGCGTTTTACATGGTGATGTAAAGTATTTGCCTATGACGGTTTTCAGTAGGTGGACATGAAAGAAAGAAAGAAAGAAAGAAACGTGGGAGAAGATAGTAAACAGAAAGAAAGAAAGAAAGAAAGAAAGAAAGAAAAAAAAGAAAGAAACGATAGAGAAGATAGTAAAAAGAAAGAAAGAAAGAAAGAAAGAAAAGAAAGAAAACGAAAATAGTAAAAAAGAAAGAAAGAAAGAAAGAAAGAAAGGGGAGAAGATAGTAAAGAAAGAAAGAAAGAAAAAAGAAAGAAAAGATAGAAAGAAAGAAAGAAAGAAAGAAAGAAACGGGGGAGAAATAGTAAACTGAAAGAAAGAAAGAAAGAAAGAAAGAAAGAAAGAAAGAAAGAAAGAAAGAAAGAAAGAGGGGAGAAGATAGTAGAAAGAAAGAAAGAAAGAAAGAAAGAAAGAAAGAAAGAAAGAGGGAAGAAGATAGTAAAGTGAAAAAAAGAAAGAAAGAAAGAAAGAAAGAAAAAAATAGTAAACTGAAAGAAAGAAAGAAAGAAAGAAAATGAAGAAGAAAAAAGAAAGAAAGGACATGAAAAGAACTTAAATGAAGAAGTATGTTTAAATTTATTGTGATAAATCCAATAACCCGCCTCTTCACTCTTTCTTTCACACGTCCCTCTCTTCTTCTCTTTCCTGTCTTTTAATTTTTTCCCCTGCCTTCTCTCTTCCAATCTTTTCTCTCTCTCTCTCGCTTCCAATCTTTTCTCTCTCTCTCTCTCTCTCGCTTCCAATCTTTTCTCTCTCTCTTTTTATCTCTTTTCTTTCTCTCTTTATCTCTCTCCTCTCTCTCTCTCCCTCTTTTCCCTTTCTCTAGCTTAAAGTATATAATTTTCTGCCTTATTCCCTGCATTCCTCTCTTTGACTCTCTTCCTTCTCACGTTCTATTCTCCTCTCTCTATTCCCCTCTATTTTCTTTTATTTCTTCTCTTTCTTCCTTCACACATATTTACTCGTAGATATATGTATATATACATGTGCTTGTGTGCGTATTTATGACGATGAAAACAATCCGTATCCACAGGAGTATACATCAGTTACTCTTATAAAACTCCTAGATTTTTTAGTGAAGTCACTGAATTTCTTGTCCAATTCTTGATAGATTTCTTAGTCTAAGAGTCTGTTTATTAATGCTTACCGAAAAAAGTTCCAGTTAAATTTCAGTAAATGACATTTTTTTCTTTGTCGATAGTCTAAAGTTTCATGCGAAAATGGAGACTTTTTTCAGTAAGGTTCACACTGTAAAAGGCCCATGAGCCACTCGAGGTAGAGGGTTAAAGATTAAAAGGCATTGTTTATGCAGATATGTGGGGAAGGTAACGGTTAACCCTAGTTTTGAACAGGTTAAGATTGTGGTGGTCGGGGAAGCATCCTCTTGGGAGTTGGGTCCAGAAGGCAGTGGTCCATGAGAAGAAGCTGTTCGAGTGGATCTTCCTTCTCGCAGATGGAATACAAAGGGAATCAGCATGGTTCGCTCTAATGTGCGTAGAATCAGTTTCAATGAATTCTTTCTCTTTGCGGTCGTAGTATGGAGCGCCATACTATATGACAAATAATAAAGATAAGAGACCAAATAAATCTTTCTATTGTGTTGAATCCTAAGACTTCAACTTCTTAAAATGAATAGGAAAAGTTCTGTAGACGCACTCGCTTTTGCAAGAATTTTGTTTTCAGTGACCAGCAACTTTAAAGGACAGTTTTCAATCGTCTATGCCTTTTCCATCAACCAAAGCCACAATCAAGTTCAACAAATTTCACCCTTTCTCTATATATGTAAATTTATTCTTTCTTTTCATGCACTGGCAGAGTGACTTTTTAATTCTACGCAGACTTCTGAAATGAATATTTATTTCACGGAAAAATTTTCTTCAACATCTGTCTCTATTTCTGAGATGAGGTATTGTAACTATTTACACTATTTACATTGTTTGGACTGCTGTCCTCATATTTATTGCCATTTTTACCTTCAACATCTGTCTATATTTCTGAGATGAAGTATTGTAACTATTTACACTATTTACATTGTTCGGACTGTTGTCCTCATCTTTATTTCCATATTCACCTTCAACATCTGTCTATATTTCTGAGATGAAGTATTGTAACTATTTACACTATTTACACTATTTACATTGTTCGGACTGTTGCCCTCATCATTATTGCCATACTCACGACGTCATGAATATGACAATAAAGATGAGGATAACAGTCCAAACAATGTAAATAGTGTAAATAGTTACAATACCTCATCTGAGAAATAGAAACAGGTGTTGAAGGTGAATATGGCAATAAAGATGGGGGCAACAGTCCGAACAGTGTAAAATCGTGTAAATAGTTCCAATACCTCATCTCAGAAATAGAGACAGATCTGAAGCGTACAATGGCCGAAACGTCGTGAATATTGCAATAAAGATGAGGCCAACAGTCCGAACAATGTAACCAACCTTTGCTTCGTTAACCAACCTTAAAATTGTACCTACTTGATTTACTTTTTTGTATTTCATTTCGTTTTTTTTTTTTTATCCATAAATATAAAATCATTGGTGTTGGGTTGATTTATTTTAAAATGGTAAAAAGTTTACCGAAAATCTTTAAAAGACTCATAGTTAATTCAGCCGGGCTCTTTAAACAGACATTAACTGTTGACACTCTCAAGCTAATGGAATATTTATAAATAATGAGATGTTCATGTCAGCTTATTAGAAAATTTATTGTTGCAAACAACTGTTTGGTTTATTTTAGATGAAAAAAAAAAGATAGTTCAACAACGGATTATGTGATTCCACCGCAAATTAAATTTGATCTCAGCTGTTTCAACCCCAATGAGTTATGAATCATTCTTTCACAAACTTCATGCAAAACAATTTTTTACACTTTGCTCTGATCGGCTGTATAGAATGTTCTTCTCTAGGGGTGCGTCGCAGAGACATTACTGGAGTTATATTACAGGTTGACATCCCATCTGATTAGCTATGGTAGCCACCTGTGAGTAAAGAAATAAAGATACTGGCGAAATACTATCACCCTCTCATCTCCGTTGAGAAAAGAGTGATGTACGGTATTTCTTGTCAGACAGGCAGCGGCCATCTTGGAATTGGATGTTTGCATTATTTTCGTGTTTTTTTCTGTTTTGTTTGCAGTTTTTGTTGTGGGAAACGTTTCTATTTTTTCATTTATGTTTGTTTTTTTTCTTTCAGAATTTCTTTCGTTCACAGATTATCGCTATCACGACAAGAGACTTTTGATTGTTGCTCTGCGAATATTAATAAAAAAAAACCATTCTGTTAGAGAATTCCATTGCACGCCACAAACTTGATACTTTTTTTTAAATATACGTGTCTGTGTGCATGTGTGCCTTGGTCCTGTGTAAATAATACGTCATTTTATTTATATGTTTACACCTGAGGGACAGATAGATTGATATATAGATAGATAGATATGAATAGACTGAGATATATATATATATATATATATATATATATGTGTGTGTGTGTGTGTGTGTGTATATATATATATATATATATAGAGAGAGAGAGAGAGAGATGAGTAGATTAAGATATGTGTATATATATTTAAAGATAGATATGAACAAAGATGATATATATATATAGAGAGAGGGAGATAGCTAGATATGAGCAGACTAAGATATGAATAGATAGATAGATAGATAGATAGATAGATAGATAGATATAAACAGACTGAGAGATAGATATTAACAGACTGCGATAGATAGATATTAACAACTTAGATAGATAGATAGATAGATAGATAGATAGATAGATAGATAGATATTAACAGACTAATCCATACATATATATATATATATATATATATATATATATATATATATATATATATATATATATATATATAGAAAGAGAGAGAGAGAGAGAGAGAGGGATAGAGATAGCTAGATATGAGCAGACTAAGATATGAATATATATACGAATATATATATATATAGATAGATAGATAGATAGATAGATAGATAGATTTAAACAGACTGACATTGATAGATAGATAGATATTAACAGACTGCGATAGATAGATATTAAAAACATAGATAGATAGATAGATAGATAGATAGATAGATAGATAGATAGATAGATTATAACACACTATGATAGTAATATGCATAGATATAAATTAACTTACCGTTTTTGTTTTTTTGTTTTTTTGCCTGCTCAGGAAGATTGCTGTTCGAATTGTTTCACAGTAAAGTCCATACTACATTAAGTTTGCTTGTGATGTTCAGAGGAATCTGACATTTTTCTAGCATCCGCAGTTTATACTGCAACTGTACTGATCAAACCTTAGTTACCTGCAGGGTCCGGCAGGGAAAGCATCATCTTGTGTGGCATTTGAACATTTGCTCTTGGCCAACCGCCGACGGTACCTTTTCATCTCACTCAAAAGTCTTCGGTCAACCTAGATTACCGGACGCTGTTACTGCCTGCCCAAGCTGATTGTCATATTTCTGACAAATCGTCCATAGTAGGATTCGAGCCACAGACTCATAGTCAGAAAGCGAATGATTTATACACTCGCTTTTACACCCATAAAGATACTAGTTCATCTAACACGAAATAAATAAAATTTTAATTAATTATGATGTATCAACTAATTAAAAACTGTGAAATAATTGCTAAATATTAACTGAATATTAATTACATAAAAATTCATTTGCATAAAATATTAATTAGATAAAGTATTAATTACATAAAACATTAATTTAATCAACAAATTAAAAAAAAACACTATAAATGATGAAATAATGACTAAATCGGATGAGAAAAAGATCCGCAGTATTTTCGTTTTACGTAGAATTTGGTTTAGTTGGGCGCAGTACGAACACGTACTGATAATGAAATTCACTAAACGTGTGAATAGTCTAGCAACATAGCTTGATAGTCATGATTCTTCATCAGGTTCCATTGCCTACGTATATACATTCACGGACATTTCGCATATCTGATCGTTCTCTGTAAAGGGATGCAAACGATAAAGATGGCTGAATTTGAAATGCTGGAGAAATTATGATTACTGAGTCTTAGACACTCGAATTTTATTTTGTAATGTTTACTTCAAGATATTTTTTCTGAAATCTAAATAATACGAAAGTCTGCTTTTGTGGTGTTCTCATTACCGTTCTTTACAAGGAATTAATTCTAAATGATGAATTTAGTTTTTCTCACACAGTTCAACTCATAGAGACAAGATTTGTTACAATGATATTGCTAAGTCCATATATGCATGTCAATGACTTCCGGAAATAATAAGTGTGTCCCTCTTTCACGCTTAATGTTTTATATATATATATATATATATATATATATATATATATATATATATATATATATATAAAATAAAATTTACTGAATCCAAGAAGTGAAATAGCTATTTCTTTGCCGTCATTGTCAAAAAATTTCCTTAAATCATATTTTTAAAAAAATGGGAGCTGGTAATATACATACTTATATTTGATATGAAAAAATAATTTTATGTAATTTAAGTAATTCTATTACATTTATTTGATTTAAAAAGAAATATAGTCTATTAGTAATTAAGAGTAAAAAATATTATAAAATTGTAGTTAAATATAAGGTATTCTAACCCAAAAACCCCTTTTAGAAAGAATCTTTAAGTATACAAGTACGAAAAAATGCCGAAAAACTTTTTGTCGTCAATAATGAAAAAAAAAACAGACGACATGTGTTTAACGGATGTCAGAATTCGTTGAAAACTACACCCCTACCCTCCCTAGACTTAACCACTTTTTCGAACGTAACTCATAATTGATACAACAATAGTTAATAAAAATGAACACGCTACCGCCCCTGTCTGAATGATTGGATTTTTCTGTACTCTTGGAAAGAGGAAATTATGAATTTATATGTGCGTTTAAAACTCAGTAAATTTAAAAATAAGTTATTCCAATATTCGCTTGAAGATGAAACAGAACGGATGATTTGAATTTTATTATATAATTAAATTTGGAGTTTTTAGCTTCAGTTTTTGAAACATGGTTATTACTGTGTAGCGAAGAAACCATATTTTAAATCAGTTAATTTATAATATTTATGCTCTGTCAATTTACACTGAGCACTATTTTGCAAAAATAAAAATAAAAACTATCAATAACAACACCGGATTATATATCTTACTATTCTTTCTTTATATATATATATATATATATATATATATATATATATATATATATATATTCTCTAATCTATTAAATCTTTCATATGGATTTAGTTTCATACTAAGGACTATTAGACCAGCTGGTAGTTTTTTATCCGTGCCAATACAAACATACAAAGTGTGATGGGGTAATTGATGCCATTTTATGCTTTTAATTTCGCGTATCCGAGTTGTTTGCTTTGAACTTGACGACTTCATATTATAGTAAGATCACTTGTGCACCGTCTATGGGAAAATGCGCACCATGACATAATTCCAGAAATCAAGAAACGGCATTCTGTACTGCTTGGCATTCACCCTAGAAAATCCAATACGAATATTTCAGAGTAGTTGGGTGTCAATCCGAGGACAATGCAGAGGATTCGGAAAGAGTTGGATGAGTCTAATGGTGATTACCAAGGTACGGTAGCTCAGAAAACTCACTGTGATCGTTATCTGATAAAAAAAAACTCCCTAATTTGTTGGTGAGGCCTCAGACTCAACATGGAGGCCTATATCAAGTGTATTGAGGAGGTAGTGCCGCCCTGGGTCAAGAGGGTGGCTGCTGGAAAAACTTATATCTGGCAACAGGACTCTGCACCATATCATACAAACAGGAGAATCCAGTCGTGGCTTTTAGACAATTTCTGCAACTGCATCATTCCTTACATCTGGCCAGATAACTCTACAGCCTTCAATCCCCTTGATTACTATGTATGGCGCGCAATTAAGTGAGAGACCACAATAACTCCATGTAAAACCAAAGAAGGCAAGGATTATGGCAGCATTCACCAGCTTAAACAAGGAGACCGTCCAGAAGAGTTGCTGGAGGCCGTGACTGAAACCAATGGTGATTTTACTGAGTAAATTACTCTTTAGTATTTCAAGGTATTTTTGCGTAATCTTGGTAATTATATCTAAAATGAGATTTCAGTGTTTTGTGTTATTTAGACGACATTTTATCCATCGCACCTTGTACATATTAAATTGAAAATATATGCATAGAGTGAGGAAGGGAAATAAGTGGAGATAGATAGATAAAATATACCAAGCTAGCTAGATATATAGATATGAAGACGGTTAGATAGATACGAACAGACTGCGAAAGATAGATAGATATAAACAGACTGTGATAGATAGATAGATAGATAGATAGATAGATAGATAGATAGATAGATAGATAGATAGATAGATAGAAACGAACTGAGATAGATATGAACACACTGTGATAGATAGATAGATAGATAGATAGATAGATAGATAGATAGATAGATAGATACGAACAGGCTGTCATAGATAGATAGATAAACAGATAGATACGAACAGACTGTGATAGATACATGGATAGTAATGAAAAGACTGATAGATAGATACGAACAGACTGCAATAGATATATAGATAGATAGATAGATAGATAGATAGATAGATAGATATAAACCGATTATGATAGATAGATAGATAGATAGATAGATAGAAACGAACAATCTGAGATAGATATGAACAGAGTGTGATAGATAGATAGATAGATAGAAACGAACAATCTGAGATAGATATGAACAGAGTGCGATAGATAGATAGATAGATAGATAGATAGATAGATAAGGACATCGTAATGAAGTATTTTTGTCATTAACATAGTAATTTTCTTTCTTTTCTACCCTCTTTATTTTTCTTCTAAATACAAACAGGCACCCACATGTTTCCCTCTCTTTCGCTCTTGTCCTCTGTTTCAATCAGTGCACACACCTATATGCATATATCGATGCATCTACGTACGTATGTACGTCTGCATGAACGCTAATGAGGCTTTATATATCCATTCGCCCATTACCCAAAAGCGATGTGCTTCTCATTTCATCATCTTTCCAGGTGTTGGTATCCCGTTGGGACAAGTGACAAACTCGTGTAAGTTACGAAGCTCCTACCTTTGATGTTTACTCTTTGCTTAGTAATCGTCAACAGCTATGTCAATAAGCCAGGTAAGTAGTCAGAAAGATAGAAGATCAAAATTACTTATATGGATCCTTTATACATATCCACTAAGTGTTAGGATTATATACATACATACCTATATATATATATATATATATATATATATATATATATATATATATATATATATATATATAATACTATTTATTAACAAATATAACAAAAACATGTTATAGACTGCTACATAAAAGGCAATCATGTTTCAGCACTATATGTGGTCTGAAGAAGCCCCTATAGTGCTGAAACATGATTGCATTTATGTAGCGGTTTATAAAATATTTATTTCTGTTAGATCAATTTTTTCTGCTTTCTATGCATATTAATTATTATGCATCTGTGTACAGTTAAATATATGAAAAGTATGTTTATTCATTAGTTGAAAATAAATTATTTTTTATGCGTACGAATATTTGTTTCCCCCCACTATATATATATCTATCTATATATATATATATATATATATATATATATAAAAAATAGTAGTAGTGGTAAATATACACATACATATGCAAAATATATAAAGATATATACATACATGTATACACATACATATATATTTTGTATAAAAAATTTCCAAGAGGATAGAATCCAGGTAGAACTCAATGTCCAGGACAGAGTTAGGATATAATAAAAAGGCTCAAAAAGAAAACAGTTCTTTTTTTTATTTGTAAGTCTGATGAATTGGATCGTATTTACGATTCCAATGGAATAAATTATGACCATGGAATATTAGTGTTTAAGCCTTTTTATTATATATATATATATATATATATATATATATATATATATATATATATTTGTGTTTTGATTGGTCATTTGTAATAGCGTTTTCAGCTTGCGAAGGATCGTTAATTAAGTTGAAACTTTTAAAACCACTTATTTTACATTCAACACCATCACTTGATAAGACAGCGGAGGTGTTGAAACAGAATGTCTATTTTTGTAGTGATTTTATAACATATTTATGTTATAATTTTTAAATAAATAATTATATATATATATATATATATATATATATATATATATATATATATATGGGGGACGATATATAAATTTTTATATATCATGAACAATTTTATGGAAATCTATGACAAATTGGAAGTTTTTCTTGTCACGTTTTTCGTCCTTTCGTAATTTATGGATGTAAAGTCATGTTTTTATTGATGTACTTATACATACGCATGAAGGAGAGAAAGCGCTGAGAATTTAACTTTTTTATTAAACATATATTTTATTCAATATATCTTATATGTTGTTTTAAAAATTTCATTTAGTTTATTCTCTGTTTGCTTATAGTTCTATCAACCAAATATCCCAAAGGACGAAACGCATCACACGAAAACCTTTACGATTTTGTCACAGGTTTCTCTAATATATATATATATATATATATATATATATGAAAGAAAAAATAAATGGAGTAAAATAAATGGAGTAAAAATCCACAGTTCGTGGCATTTACTTTTTTTAAAAAGTGCTCAATACAAAGTAGAGCAAACTATTTTCAGAGATCTGTTTACTTTGCCTTTGGAATTTGCTACGGAGTACTCTGATCTTTCCAACGAGGAATTGGGCATTATTATGAACTCTAGAAGATATGTCCTTATTGATAACAAAGAAGAGTGAATTAAGACCAACTCTGATGACCAATTCGATATTTCCATGGGATCGTTAGACTCTGCTGAGTCCCCTACCTTGTTGGTTTATTCATTTTATATAATCTTAGTGCTCACCAAGATATCAACATTGACGACATCGGGTTATATATAGATGACGGGCTTATGGTGGTGAAAAAATCCACAAAAATTAAAGCTGAGAAAATCCTGAAATTAATACATATAGATTTTAAAAGTCTCAACCTTAATGTTAAGATCAACACCAGTGAACCTTGATGTTCGCTGGACCTAATTAATAATACATACCAACCTTACATGAAAACAAACGCAAATACAACATATATCCACACAAATCCTAACCACCCTCCATCCCTAATCAAACATATACCCTTCTCCATAGAATTAGAAATAACTCTTCCAGTGAAGATGTCTTTTACAAATATAGTAAATTTTATAACGCTGCCTTAAAAATAGTGTATAAGTGCCCTGACGTCAAATATATTAAACCTAACACAGACAGTAAGAATAAAAATAGAAACAGAAAAATAATTTTGGTACACACCACCCCATCTATTTAACCAAATGGTTAGTACTAAGTTAGGGCAGAAGTTTCACAATTCAACTGAGAATCACTTCTCCAGAATTAATCCACTTAGTAAGATTTTTAATAGAAAAATACTAAAACTAAGTTATAGCTGTACAGAAAATTTTGAAAAAATTATTAAAAAAACATATTAATAAAATTTTAAATCAATACAAAAACCTAATAATTGCCTTTCCAAAGCAGCAAACGCTGATAATACCAACAAGTGTATTTGTAGAAATCTTAATGAGTGTCCATTACAAAATAGGTGTCAATTTTATTCCCTTATTTACCTAAGCACTGTTTCTGCTATAGAAAATCCAACAGTTAAAAAAATTATATCGGGAGAACCAAGAATTCCTTTAAAACTAGGTGGTATCAACATATATTATCTTTCACCAACAACGCATGCAGAAATAGGACGTCTATTTCTAAATATTTTTAGAACTTAAAAGAACTTAACAAAACTCCTACGGTAAAATGGAAAATATTAAAAGAAAATAGAACTTGTAAATCTTTAAATTAACCATGTTTTCTATGTTTACATGAAAAATTACAAATAATCGAATTTGCTGACAAAAATGACCTGTTAAACCAAAGGAATGAATTAATTCTAAATTGCGAACGCAGGTTATCTTTTACCTTAAAATATAGGTAAAATTAAAAAGAAATAATTACGTATTACCATTTTTATAGCCATAATTTATTAGTATATAATGGTACACTCTCTATGGGTAATTATTTTATTTTCTTTATTCAGCTTAAATATTGCTAGGTACTGCCGTCTATTTAGTATTATTAACATCATATATAAATGTTCCACATTTTTAATTTCATCTACAGGCGCCATTAAGAAGCTTCCTGAATATAACAAATCATTTTTTTTAATTTTTTTCTTTTAACTTTACGTCACATTAACCTACCCCTCCCTGCAATAAATAGAACATGTCACATTTATCCGCAATCACGATACATTTGTCGCTGCCATATTTTCCTCAATCGTCAAAGATGCCATGTCTATGTCCCGGTTTATCGTGATATGAAAATAAATAACTCACCCACCCCCACCCTCTGATCTTATTCTTCTATTTAACGTAGATCTGACATTTAATTGGTTAATCGAGACATACCCGAAAGTATATTAATAATTTTGACCTTTGCCCCGACTTTAACTTTCGGAAAAGATGTAACGATTTATTTTTAAATTTCCCTAAAAATCATTTGATCACCAGTTACCTACCATCGCCCGAGGAAGTAGAATCCTACTATTTGAACATGAAAACTTGAAAACTTGTGTGTCGCGATTTAAAAATGTTTTAGTATAATCTCTTATAATAAAAATATGATATATATATATATATATATATATATATATATATATATATATATATATATATATATATATATACATTTGGAGACCTGACTGCATGAATTTAAGCGTGCTACTAGGTTTGCATATCGGCCTGACACTTTCCCCCATTCTTCTTTTTATCCTTTCCTCAACCTCAACTTCCCTTACATTCACTTCCTCTAGCCCCCTGCGTACCAGTGAGACTTGCTAGGAGTGAATTTCTTAAAAAATTTCAAATAGGAAGTGTGTCTCTGTGAATTTATATATATAAGTATATATACATTTGGAGTCCCGACTGCATGAATTTAAGCATGCTACTAGGTTTGCATATCGACCTCAAACTTTGACTGTCGAAACAGTTAAATTTAACCGTCTCTTCTACTCCAACAGTTTTTTCTCTCGCACTTCCCGACAGTCGAACTCCCTTCCGCTTAGTTGCTTCATCGACATCTTCTGCTGCCTTGATCCCCCATTCTTCTTTTCATCGTTTCTTCAACCTCAACTTCCCTTACTTTCACTTCCTCTAGCCCCTTGCGTACCAGTAAGACTTGCTGGGAGTGAATTCCTTAAAAAATTCCAAATAGGAAGTCTCCCCAAGAATCACTTCTTGACCTACAGATTCTGAATATTCATCTATTTTTTTTAGAGATGGTGACATTTTGGTTTTCTCTGTATTATTTTATTTATTCATTTTCCTGTCACTGCAAGAGAAATCGGAGAGCCGAGTTCGAATTCCAGTCGAATCCATTACATTCACTTACGTGCTATTACCCTTGGGAAATATAAGAATCCTCTTCTTCTCCCCCCCCCCACAGATATGGGTAAATAGCAGAACAATCCTGGTTCTATAGCCTTGGATGGCAGATTTGTCTACCGCAGAAAGAAATAGCAACGCAATGCGGGGAAAAAATGCTGCCTCGTCAGTCATATCTCGAAAGATGCATGATCGCCTAAGAGTGCATCACACTTGGCACATAACTGACTGATCCCATGCAAACAATCACCCCATGCATCCACTCCCACCCTGACGAGAGTCAGTTCACAGAGACACACCCAAATTATCGTT